AGGGTGGGGCAAGGCATCTGCTAAGACATAATCATCACCCTTTGAGCTGATGTAGGTGTGTGATGAAAATCCTACACATAAAACTAAAGAGAATAAATGCTTTGATTTTTTAATTCAAGCTACATTTTTCAGATTATTTTAGCACAGTCCTAGCTTTATTCAGAGTGAAAGTTTGTTTGCTATGCATGAGAAAAGAACCTGGTGAGAACTCAAGTCACCATATTTGATATCAGCAAGGTTGGGGTAATAATATGGCACGCAAACAGGCTGAAATTAAACTCACATGGACTAAAATGGTATTTAAAAAAGTGTATAGGAACTGAAGAAAATACTTCTATGGAGTTAGAAAGAACTTGATTGGCTGCAGAGCAAAACGGGATGTGTGTACCAACTACAATGTAGATATTTTCTAATTAATCTATTCAGCGATGTTATTAACAGGACTCTTGTGAAGTGGCAACTTAGACAGAAATTACTGGAAAAGCGCAGCAGGTCAGACAGCATCTGTGGACAGAAATCAGAGTTAACATTTCCAGTTGAGTGACCCTTCCTTAGAACTGGAAGTGATAATGTCCTGACCTCTGAGGCAGAAGACCAAGGTTCAAGTCAAACCTGAACAGGATGATGAATAGTACGTTCCGAGGTGTAATTACACATCTGTGCAGCAGATGAACCCAGATCTCCTGGGTCATAAGGAAGGGACATTACCACCATGCCACTGAAGGCTTAAATTATAATTGCAGATAGTTTCTAATTCATCCTGTTCGGAGATGTTATGATATACCCCTGGAGCAAGTAGGACTTGAAACTTGGGTCTCCTGTGTCAGAGGTGGTGATACTACCACTGCACCACAATAGCACCCGTTACAAATGATAAATCTGCAGCTGATAAAGAACACCTGTGTAGCCTTGATGATGCTGCTGATGTTTGTGACATGGCAATACAAACGAAAAATAATCAACAATGTGCACTTGGATCTGGGGGCGGAAGAGTCATAGGTAATGTATCATGAAATTAAAGGTATATAGTGCTGAATGTAATCGTTTCAGTAGACCTTATAACACATTTAAACAATTGGAGAACTTGGATTCTTGAAGGTTTTTAATTATAAGCATATCCTAATTGCTGAGGCAGAAGACTTAGAAATAAGAAGCTGGTATCATTGAATGTTCTTAAACAATCACTATATTTTCATTCAATAAATAATGGAGTAAAATTTATATTATTGCAAAGGGCGGTGCTTACTGCTTATACTTAATGCTGGAACAAACATTCAAAATAGTGCGGAAAATATTTTTATAATGAACTATCTATAAAAATTATGGTATCTGGATACTGACCTCTGAACAGTGGACCTTACTCCCAGGCTCAATAGGTCTGGTGCCAATAAATGTTTATGTCATAGCCAGTGTGGTGTTAATTAACTGGAGTCAAGTTCTTACAACAGATGTTGTACACGTCAAGGAATAGATTTATGCCCCAGTTACTTATATATACTTATAACAAATAAAACCACGTAATGCACCTGTATACCCCTGAGATCAATGGTAGAACGTGTAAAGGCACACTGACTCTCATGCTATGTGCGTATAATGGAAAACCAAACACTGGGATGTTTGATGCTTTCCAGCAAGGGCAGTATCACAAGAATCAACAAGCTATCCAGTGTCTGAATTGCTATACACATGCTAAATTGTGATCTGTTTATGGCATGACACAGTAGTCATTACTGAGAGCAATATTATGTCAGCGTGTTACAGTTCACTCACGGAATTGAACTGGCTGTGGCAACATGGGGGAAGAGGATGGTCTAGGTGACTAAGGATAAAAATACTTCATTAATGAGAAGATATCATAAGAAGAAGAATGTGGGCATCTGTGATATGGCATAAAGTGGAAATGCAGAGTTTAGGTAAGCATGTAATAAATCTCTGATGTGTTCAGAATAGTTTTCTGCAACAATATGCTCTAGAACCAATAAGGTATGTTTATCTGTAGCAACCAAAACATGACAGTTGAATGAGAAGTTCTTTCTGAAGAAGGGTCTAGGCCTGAAACGTCAGCCTTCCTGCTCCTCTGATGCTGTTTGGCCTGCTGTGTTCATCCAGCTCTACACCTTGTTATCTCAGATTCTCCACCATCGGCAGTCCCCACTATCTCTGATCAAAAGCAATGTTGGTTCCACAAGAACTGAGGAGTGATATTGTAAATGAAAAATGAGGAAAATGGCGGAATAAGGAAATCATAACATCTGGATAACAAGGATACCTATGTCAGACTCCTATTTATTGACTTTAGCTCCGCCTTCAACACCATAATTCCAACTAAACTCATCTCAAAACTCCAAGACCTAGGAATCTGCTCCCCACTCTGCAAATACCGCAATCAGTAAGAACAGACAACAACACCTCCTACACAATAATCCTCTACACCCAGTGTGCCGCAAGGCAGTGTACGCAGCTCCTTACTATACTCTTTATACACTCATGACTGTGTGGTTACATTTAGCTCTAGCTCCATTTACAAATTTGCTGATGACACCACCGTAGTGGGTCAGATCTCAAACAATGATCAGATAGAGTATAGGAAAGAGATAGACAGCTTAGCGGCATGTTGTAAATACAACAATCTCTTTTTCAATGTCAGCAAAACAAAACAACTGGTCATTGCCTTCAGGAAGCGGAATGGAGGACACACCCCTGTCTTGGAGGTGGCCAAGAGTTTCAAGTTCCTAGGAGCAAATATCACCAATGATCTATCCTGGTCCATCAAGTCCACAAAGACGTACCATAGAAAGCATCCTATCTGGATGCATCACAGCTTGGTATGGCAACAGCTCTGCCCAAAATTGCAAGAAATTAAAGAGAGTTGTGAACACAGTCCAGTTCATCATGAAAACCAGCCTTCTTTCCATTGTCTCTGTCTACAATTTCCCTCTGCCCTGGGGAAGCAGCCAATATAATCAAAGACCCCTCCCACCCCGGTTATACTCTCTTCCATCAGGCAGAAGATACTAAAGTTAGAAAACACATACCAACAGATTTAAGAACAGCTTCTTCCCTGCTGTTATCAGACTTATGAACA